GGCTCTGAAGAGCCGCAGTTCAGCATGGAGGAGCCTGATGACGCGCAGGTCAGCCTTTACTTCTTCACCTCCTGCTATAAATACACACCTCCATATTGTATAGAAGAGGGAATCTCAGATACTGCACTGCTAAATCCCTGCCAGCTTTATCTATCTATCTATCTATCTATCTATCTATCTATCTATCTATCTATCTATCTATCTATCTATCTATCTATCTATCTATCTATCTATCTATCTATCTATCTATCTATCTATCTATATTTGTCCGTCTGTCCGTCTGTCTGTCCGTCCATCCGTCCGTCTGTCTGTCTATCCATCCATCCATCCATCTATCTGTTAAACTCGATGTCAAAATCGGTCAAGCAAACTTTATAAAAAAAATTTTTAATCTTTATTTTCCTAACAAGATCTTTAAAATGTAACAATTTGATGAATGATTTACAGACCTGTGTATGTTGCAGGTTCAGGTCCAATATGTACTGAAATATTGTTTTCAGTTGTGCACAGTTCAACCCAAAGGGAGTTCATGTTTGTTGTAAATAAGGGTGTGTTTATTCTTTTGCAAAACGCTGTGAATAAATTAGGATTGTAAAGAGCAAATGCAGAGTAAAAATGTGAAGTATACATATTCAGTGGGTTGTACTCAGATACCTCACTCAATGCAGTGATGTCTAACTTTACTGTAGTTTTCAAATTACTGTGCAAATAGAATACAGTGCTGTCTTGAGAATTTTCAGGAAGTGTCACCAAAATCTGACTGTTTAGCATTGGAAAAAATGTCCAGAGTAAATTGTCATGATGAAAACATGACTAAGCCATTTGACTATCTTGTTTATAAACAATGATGTCAGAACTTTTTATCTTGATGACACTGACACTTTCATTGACATCAATACTTGCTTTTGAGAAATGAACTATCAATTTTGTGTAATTGATGCGCTTTTGCAGGTTATCAGCTATGTTTTGCAGTTTGAACTAAGTGTTTTGAGAAATGCATTAACTGTGGTGCAGAAATGCACTGGTGTTGTGAGAAACGCACCAAAGCCACTGAGAAAAACTGTAAAATTAGCTTGACAGATTTTGACACTAGTTCAACATTTGTGTATGTAATGACTCAAGTAATAACATGAAGACTATTAGTTTTATATGAAATGGCTATTCAGCATTCACAAGTTTAGTTCATTTTGACTGACATGACATAAGCACATGAAAAAAACAGCAGAGAGTGGTTTGAAAGCAATCGATGCATGTCCAAAATTTGCAATTTGTTGAAAGGAATGAGAAACTGCTACTATGATGTGCACAAATGACTGACTGTTTTGAGAAATGCATCAACTGTTGTGCAAATGTAAATAGTGTTGTGAGAAATACACCAAAGCATCTAATAATAATAATAATAATAAAATAATAATAAAATAATAATTATAATACTAATAATAATAATAAAATAATAATAATAAAATAATAATAATAATAATAAAATAATAATAATAATAAAATAATAATAATAATGATAATAAAATAATAATAATAATAATAACAACAATAAATAATAACAATAATAAAATAATAATAATAATAATAATAATAATAATAATAATAATAATAATAATAATAATAATCAAATAATAATAATAATAATAATAATAATAATTAATAATAATAATAATAATAATAATAATAATAATAATAATAAGAGACCATGTAGGTGTAAAATTACTAAGTCAACAGAATGTTTAAGGCACCAACCAAAATCTAGGGCCAGACATAATAATCACTGCAAATAATATAAGAGATGGTGTTTCTAATGAAAGAACACAGAACATTTTCATAATATCCAGTGCAATATACAATATACAAAATGAATGCTAATAATGTGGTCTGGTAATGTATGCATTGGAATAACGTCAATGGAATGAGTGCGTCATGAGTGAAGAAATCATTAGTGATAAAAGATGCAAATACAGTGATATTCGCAGCTGAGCTTATAGATTTGGTGCATTTGTCAGAACACCGTTGACATTTTCTACATCTGTCATGTTGATCAAAATCCACTTGTTGTCTGTTGAATAGTTCCCTAAACCAAATGTCCCCACAAGCATAGCAACACCAGTATATTTTGACCTTGTGGGGACATTTAGAGTATACAGACTGTGCAGTATACATTTCATCACACACCTATGGGAAGTTCCTATGTGTGTGCGTGTGTGAGCATGTGGACTGTCTCCCTGACCTTAAGTGCTTGTGAGTGTTTTAAGACGAGGTGCTTTGCCTGTTGTGATGTTTGATGGTAATGGTGGAAGTGGGCAGATTAGCCGTGCCACGCTTCATTACGTCCTGCCTGAGGTCTCAGCGCCCGCCTAACCCGAACCGACAGTGGCCTGCCTGTCACAGAGCGCCACCGCTGTCCCATCAGGGGTGGAGAAAGCAGTTTCCTGCTGCCAGGCTCTGGACTTCCTGTGCTGATAGAGAGTAATTGCTGGACTCTGACCAAAAGCACACACTGAGGGCAGAGGTTTTGTGTGCAGGGTTTTGGAGCCAGTGGGAGAATGAGCCCATGTTCCCTCCTTTTTAAAAACGGCCAATAGCTTTTGTTTTAGCCCCAGACTGCCAGTATTTTTATTTGATAACAAAAGATGCGCATAAACTACGATGCAAACACTGTTACTGAACAAATTCCAGTATGCACATTAAAAAAGTCATGTGATTTTTGTTAGAAGAGATCATGTGATGATGAAAATGTGTGTGAATGGACAAACCAGCAGGCTGAGCACACTGTATGACATCTGAAATGTTGTTTTGGTCATTCTAAAGCGCATAACTATTTCAGTATTAGTGTTATTGTATTATTGCTGACCTCCAGAATCGAGCTCCGTCTGTGCTTGGCGTCTCACGCCTTCAAACACTGCCATGCATTCATTGCGTATCGCCATACTGTCTTCTAAGGTGCAAGTCGTTTATTAAATAAGGAAAAGATTCGTGCAGCTTCTCCTACCGCAGCAAATTCAATTTTTACTGCTGATATTTGGCGCTAGTTAATTAGGAAGTGACGATTTTGTTTTCTTTGGCTTGTTGGATGGAAACGCTGCTTTATTCGTCCGTCTTTTATGCGATATTCCAGTTTTGTGCGTAAATTTAATACGTATATTTAGATGGAAAGATAGCTAGTGAGTGTTTGAGCTCAAGCGCATCAAATGAAAAGCATCTTGAAGGGGGCGGGGCAAGTCAGATACTAGAGAGCATTTGATTGGTCAGAAGACTTGAGGAGAAACGTATGAGTATAGACTGTAAAAGATACGGACGTAGTAGAGGAGTGATGTGCACAAAGTAACGCTGGGTAAAATATAACACAAAGTTTTAAGATTTTTGCTCAGGGTTAACCTTGACATGCTTCCAAAGTTTTCGGCAGACGTCTTCCTGGTAATTATTAAAAAGTTAGTTGAAATTTGGATGAGAAACACAGTTAAAAAGTATAAAAGTATTTTTATTAGTCCATATATATATCATATATATATAAATATATATATATATATATATATATATATATATATATATTTTTTTTTTTAATATGTGAAAATATGTACGAATAATCTTATATTGTTGTAAATACCGTCTTCTAGGCTAAAAGATGGAAGCATTTCGAAAGATGTAAACAACACACAGTGACTTAAATATTTTTTAATGCAATTTTGGTGAAGCAGTGGCACTAGGTAGTGCTGTCGCCTCGCAGCAAGAAGATCGCTGGGATGCTGGTTCGAGCCCCGGCTCAGTTGCCGTTTGTGTGCCGTTTCTGCATGTTCTCCCTGCGTTCGCGAGGGTTTCCTTTCCTCCGGGTGCTCCAGTTTCCCCAACAGTCCAAATACATGTGGTACAGGGAGGCTAAATTGTTCGTAGTGTATAAATGAGTGTGTGGATGTTTCCCAGAGATGGGTTGCGGCTGGAAGGGCTTCCGCTGCGTAAAAACTTGCTGGATAAGTTGGTGGTTCATTCTGCTGTGGCGACCCCGATTAATAAAGGGATTAAGCCGACAAGACAATGAATGAATGAATGAATAAACGCATTTTTTTTCACTGTTTTGATGCAAATTAGCTCATAGATATCCTAAACAATCCTATGGGTGTCTTTACCAGTGGCGTTGCGAGGGGGAGGCTTTAGGGCAGGGGTCACCAATCTCGGTCCTGGAGGGCCGGTGTCCCTGCAGGGTTTAGCTCCNACTTGCCTCAACACACCTGCCTGGATGTTTCAAGTATACCTAAGACCTTGATTAGCTTGGTCAGGTGTGTTTGATTAGGGTTGGAGCTGAAATCTGCAGGACACCGGCCCTCCAGGAACAAGTTTGGTGACCACTGCTTTAGGGGCTTAAGCCCCTGATGTATTCTCAAAAGCCCCTGATCATTTGGAATATGTTGCACTTAAATAAAAAAGGTTGTAAAACATTTATTTTGTTATCGGAGTAATTAAAATTACTTCTAAAATTACTTCCCCTTATCTCTTTCGCCCCTAGCAATGCCAGTGGTCCTAAGAATACTGAAACTAACATCTCTAAAACTTTATTTTAATTTCATGGGACCTTTAAGCAATCTTGTGTCCTTGTGTTTTCATGTTACATCATCATCTATCGACAAAGTTCAGTTTCAAAACGGTTAGATGAGATGCGGCTGCGGCCAAAAGTTCATTCGTTCATTTTCCTTTGGCTTAGTCCCTTATTTATCAGGGGTTACCACAGCGGAATGAACCACCATCTATTCCAGCTTATGTTTTACGCAGCAGATGCCCTTTCAGCTGCAATCCAGTACTGGGAAACACCCATACACTCTTGCATTCACACTCATACACTACGGTCAGTTTAGTTTATTCAGTTCACCTATAGCGCATGTGTAAGGGCTCTGGGGAAACCAGAGCACCCGGAGGAAACCCACGCCAACACGGGGAGAACAGGGCAAACTCCACACAGAAATGCCTACAGGCCCAGCCGGGACTTGAACCAGAGGCCTTCTTGCTGTAAGGCAACAGTGCTAACCACTGAGCCATCGTGCCAGCATGAAGTTAATGGGAATTATTTATGTTAGTTTTAAAATGACCCAGTAATTGTATTTTATTAACATTATCCCTAACCCGACCATCACAGTAATGTAAAAACAGTAATTATATCGAGTATTAGTAATGCTATTTATTAAATTACCCAATTGATTTTATTTTATTGACATCTACCCCTATCCCAGCCCTAAACCTAACGCTCAAAGTAATGAAAAAAAACAATTATTGTTGTACAGTGTCACAAAAATGACATTGATGCACGTGTCTGCAGCTGTATCCCTTCTAGACTTAACCTTTTAAGACTCAAGAGCATAAGCACACACACTGAGTGCAGGTTTTTGTGTGCAGGGTTTTGGAGCCAGCGGGAGGATGAGTCCATGTTCCACCCTGACCAGCAGCACCGCGTCCCCTCCAGCCTGCAGCCCGTGCTCCACTCTGCCCTCCGCTGCTCCAGGACAGGCCGTCACCAGCCCCACATCCACCCTGGAGAGCAGAGACAGCGGCATCATCGGTGAGTGACCCACACACTGACCTATGACTGTTATTCTTCATGCAGAGATGCTTTGGGGTAGAGCTGGAATAAACACTGGATAAATCTGACATGCAATATTTAGTTTTTCTCTGTGATATGTGTTCTGATATGAATGCAGTTCCATTACATGCATTTTTATTTGATGTTCGACGTAATCTCAACCGAAACATGAAGAGAGGGCAGGACATAGAGTAAACTCCTCCCCTTTTTTAAAAACTTAAGACCCCAAGAACACTTAATTTTGAGGATGCATCGAATGCAGACTTGAGTGCGGTACTCGCTCTAACGGTCGTTATCTATTATCAAACATTTAATCCATGCAACCCATCCAGGGTAACAAATAGTCTTTATCTTCCCGATTATAGTAGACAAGTCAGATTGTGCATTTGCTTTTTAAATTTTGCTAGAATTCAAATTGTAATAAATACTGTAGTGTACTTTAGTTTACTTTTTACTACAATAAACTGGTTTATTATAGTATAATATACCCTTTAGTTGTAGAAACCTACAGCATTGGTTCATGTGTTTATATTATTGTAGTCGTTGTTAACTTTAGAATCATCACAACAAATTAATTCAAGTACTTTCCTGTAGTGTGGTTATAAAATATATATAGTATTTAATATAAATAACTGTATTATTTACTATACTTTCCTATAGTATGGTGTAACAATAATATAGTATTTAATATAAATAACTGTAGTATTTACTATACTTTTCTATAGTATGGTGATACAATATTATAGTATTTAATATAAATAACTGTAGTATTTACTATACTTTCCTATAGTGTGGTTATAAAATATATATAGTATTTAGTATAAATAACTGTAGTATTTACTATACTTTCCTATAGTGTGGTTATAAAATATATATAGTATTTAGTATAAATAACTGTAGTATTTACTATACTTTTCTATAGTGTGGTTATAATATATATATATATATATATATATATAGTATTTAGTATAAATAACTGTAGTATTTACTATACTTTCCTATAGTATGGTGATACAATAATATAGTATTTAATATAAATAACTGTAGTATTTACTATACTTTCCTATAGTGTGGTTATAAAATATATATAGTATTTAGTATAAATAACTGTAGTATTTACTATACTTTCCTATAGTATGGTGTAACAATAATATAGTATTTAATATAAATAACTGTAGTATTTACTATACTTTCCTATAGTGTGGTTATAAAATATATATAGTATTTAGTATAAATAACTGTAGTATTTACTATACTTTCCTATAGTATGGTGTAACAATAATATAGTATTTAATATAAATAACTGTAGTATTTACTATACTTTCCTATAGTATGGTGATACAATAATATAGTATTTAATATAAATAACTGTAGTATTTACTATACTTTCCTATAGTATGGTGATACAATAATATAGTATTTAATATAAATAACTGTAGTATTTACTATACTTTCCTATAGTATGGTGATACAATAATATAGTATTTAATATAAATAACTGTAGTATTTACTATACTTTCCTATAGTATGGTGATACAATAATATAGTATTTAATATAAATAACTGTAGTATTTACTATACTTTCCTATAGTATGGTGATACAATAATATAGTATTTAATATAAATAACTGTAGTATTTTTTGATGTGGGAGCATACTTCTGATAGCTCCTCTTCTTTTCCACAGCCACCCTCACCAATTACTCAGAGCCGATGGACCGCAGTGGGAAACACGGCGACGGCTCTCGGGGAAGCAGCCTGAAGCTTTGGCACTCACACAGATCTACACTGGATTCCAGTCTGTACCGCGTGGATGAGAACATGACCGCCTCCACCTTCAGCCTCAACAAGATCCCTGAGCCAAGCTCCGTCCACTACTCATCTCACCCCACCCCCCTATACCTCATGCCCCGCCCCAACTCAGTGGCAGGTGAGTCTGAAGCCCCGCCTCCTCTGCCTCTGGATGTTTGTGTGCTGTTGTTGTTTTTGGTTTCTTTATCTGTCTTGATTGTGAATTCCTGTTGTGCCACTCGATGCACATAACAATCCTGCTGCTTGGGGAACAGCTTCCTGAGGCAAATCCCAAACACACAACAAAAGATATCTGGACATCATGTTGATCAGTAAAGTGTGTTGCACAGGGCTGACGGTGTTCAGAATATAACTATAATGTAAGATCTGTTTGAGTTTAGGATTTACTTTAGATTTTAAAGTGAATTTGACCACAATATACAAGGTGGATGGATGGATAATATTGTTTATAGACAGATAGATAGATAGATAGATAGATAGATAGATAGATAGATAGATAGATAGATAGATAGATAGATAGATAGATAGATAGATAGATAGATAGATAGATAGATAGATAGATAGATAGATAGATAGATAGATAGATGGATGGATGGATGGATGGATGGATGGATGGATGGATGGATGGATGGATGGATGGATGGATGGATGGATGGATGGATGGATGGATGGATGGATGGATGGATGGATATTAATGTTTATGGATGGATGGATGGATGGATGGATGGATGGATGGATGGATGTATACAAATGTTTATGGGTGGATGGATTCATAGCTATTAATGTTTATAGATGGATGGATGGATGGATGGATGGATGGATGGATGGATGGATGGATGGATGGATGGATGGATACAAGTGTTTATGGGTGGATGAATGAATGGATGGATTTATAGATATTAGTGTTTATAGATGGATGGATAAATAGATGGATGGATGGATGGATGGATGGATGGATGGATGGATGGATGGATAAATGGATGAATACTAATCTTTATGGATGGATGGATGGATGGATATTAATGTTTATGGATGGATGGATGGATGGATGTATAGATGTATACAAATGTTTATGGGTGGATGGATTCATAGCTATTAATGTTTATAGATGGATGGATGGATGGATGGATACAAGTGTTTATGGGTGGATGAATGAATGGATGGATTTATAGATATTAATGTTTATAGATGGATCGAAGGATAGATGGGTGGATGGATGGATGGATGGATGGATGAATATAGATAGATGGACGGATGAATGAATGGTTATTAATGTTTATGGATGGATGGATGAATGAATGGTTATTAATGTTTATGGATGGATGGATAGATACTAATGTTTATGGATGGATGGATGGATGGATGGATTGATAAATGGATTTATGGTGTTAATGTTTAGAGATGGATGGATGGATGGATGGATGGATGACAGATAGATACTAATATTTATGGATGGATGATGGATGGGTGAATGCATACTAATGTTTATAGATGGGTGGTTGGATGATACTAATCTTTATTAATGGATGCATGGATGAATGGATGAATTGATGGATAGTAATGTTTATAGATGGATGGATAAATGGATGGATAAATATTCATGTTTATAGATAGATGGATGGATGGATGGATGATGGATGATGGATGGATGGTTACTAATGTTTATAGATGGGTGGTTGGATGATACTAATCTTTATTAATGGATGAATTGATGGATAGATGAATGGATACTAATGTTTATGGATGGATGGATGGATGGATGGATGGATGGATGGATGGATACTAATGTTTATGGATGGATGGATATTAATGTTTATAAATGGATGGACGGATGAATGGGAGGACAGACAGACAGGTAGACAGGTAGATAGATAGATAGATAGATAGATAGATAGATAGATAGATAGATAGATAGATAGACAGACAGACAGACAGACAGACAGACAGACAGACAGACAGACAGACAGACACACGTCATATTTTAAATAGCCCGCATCTTACAGTTAAATCAAATGGAAAATGAATCGCCTCATGAAATGTCCTTCTATATTAATTCAGCTGCTTTATATTCAAATGCGTTTGAAATGAAATGTAAAAGGCGTTCTTTATTTAGATCTGAACGCCACACAACCCTGCTGTCCAGGTTAATGCACTCTCTCAGCTATCCAGTCCCACAATGCCATTAAAGCCCAGAACAATCTCCTTCAGTTTAGCTCAATCATTCGCTGGCTTCACTCAGACTGCAGTTTGTGACGGCATCAGTCGGGTCATGGACAGTACGCTTCAACTCCAGTGTGCACAGAGAACAGATGAGAGGCGTCTAATAGCAGCAATAATGATGAGTCTCCCTGAAGTAAAAGCTAAATCTGTCTGATGATGTTGATATGTCTCTTATGTAACGCGGTGCCTCTTCATTCCTGGCTGATTGTGTTACTGTGCAAGTAATCAGCATTGTTGTGTTTCTGAGAAGACCCTTTTTTTTGGAGACTGAGAACAAGATATGTGAGGTTATCTAGAAGGAAAGTGGCTCTCAAAAGGGATGTAAAGATTATTTGTTAATCCGGTATTCACACTGTTGAACTAAATATACTAATAACTAATTCATCATAATGCAAATCTGGCTGCAGGTAGATGTTTCAGGCCTGTTGTCAGCCTGGTAAAAGGAGTGATTCTTTTTTTCTCAAAAAAATGGACCTTTTATCAGTCATACACCTCATTTTCTATTTAATTATGAGATTTAAATACTGCTTTAGTGTCATTTTAAGCACTATTTTTAGCTGAATTGGCTAAAATATTTCCTAAAGATTTAGAATAAAGAAATAGGAATAAATACTTATTTTTAAAATACTAATTCATCATGTCATGTATCATTAGAAAAAAAAATGGATCTGTTAAAGTTTTAAATTAACAACTGTAGCCTATTGCAGTGTTTCCTCCAAGCGGTGACCTCCTGCTCTCCCTCAGGGAGCCAATACGGAAGTAACTGAAACTGCAATTCATCGACTCGCCTTTGGGGGCTGGCTCCAGGAACACTAGATGTTCACCGGCTGTAGTGCTAAATTGGCCAATTTTACAGCTGATAAAACCATGTTTATAGCCTGGTAAATCTGGTTTTGGTGTATATATCTAATAATACCCTTCATGACAACTGTGAAGAGGTGAACTTTTTTTATAACTCATCCGTTTCATGTATATTGAGGTCGTACTCGCACTAGGTACAGTTGCCTCGAACCGGGCCAAAGCACGATTGTCCCCCCTTCCGTCTCCCCCGACGGCCCGCGCTCACACCACAAGCGAGCTTCGGCACGCTTACGTCATCGCTGCTGCGCTGTTCAGTAAGAAGCGCTCTCTCACTCAGAAGCACAGTGGAGATTTCTCTAGTTATATTGTTTCAGTTGTTTGATATGCCGTCAAATATTTCGCCAAACAGTCCTTAGGGATGCAGGGACACGCAGTCAGATATTTCGCCGAACAGATCCGCCCCTTTTGGCGCTCATAAACAATCATAAAGCTCTCGTGCTGCAGGAATGAAGAGGTCTGCTGAAGCCGCGCAGCTGTCGTGAAGTTAGGAGTTCTCGTCTTTAATAAACTACGGCAGTTTGCGTTCACTGAACAGTAAGAATGATTAATAAATCCATATGAAACAGTCCCTTAAAAGTCACGTCTCGCTTTCAGTTTCGGGCTTTGCCGCGTTTTGCACTCAAACACAAGCGTACCGCACCAAAGCCCAAGTGAACTGCGCTCAGGCACACCTCTTTCAACCGGGCCAGGGCCGGCAAAGTGAACCGTGCTTGAGCCTGATTCAGTGCACTCACACTTCTCAAACAATCCGGGAAACGGGCCTGGGCACGGTACGGATGGCATAGTGTGAGTAGGCCCTAAGTTATATTAAGTCTGCATAATTAAGGATGTGGCCACTTGAGTGACAGTAAGGTCTTGCTGCTCGCTGTCTCATCACCTCAGCTGATTCCGGCTGATTAGCCGCTGAACTCGGCATATACACACTCAAAAAAATGGATTATGGCTTTAGTTGGTCCAAAGAATATAACTATGCTTAAATTAAACAATTCACTTCTGTTTGTTTATTAAAATCAAAAGAGCTGTGTTGGAAAAAAATAGAAAAAGTAAGTTTTCCAATTGAAAGTGCTTGCTTATTTAAAATGCAACCCAAGCTCATTCTGGAAACGTAGCCCCGCGGACGTTCCTGGAGACCGCGATTTACGTGGCCGGAGGTACGTAAAGGCCGCGTTTGTTTTTTTTTTTCGAGCTAACGATGCGGGGCGTTGTGGCGCCGCTCCGCCCCTCCTCTTCGCGCTTGCCGGCCGACGGCTCGCCTCCGAGTGGAGGGCTTTCCCGACGCAATCAGTTTGTCCGCCTAGCTCACTGCGTTGCGTCGGCGGAGCAAAGGCCCCGGACGAGGAGGAGGAGCCGGAGCCGGCCGCGGTGGACGACGACCGGGATCGTGTCCGGGGAACAGCAGGTTCCGGAAATCAGGTAAGACGAAAAACGGAATCCGAAAAATAAGGGCGAGAACACGGCGGGATCCGAAAACGCGGTCGAAATCGAAGACAGGGGCTTTTGATTTTTTTTTTTTTTTTTTCCGATCCGGCGGCTTTTCGCGCGAGAACGGCACGGGCGCGAACGGCGTGCGCTCCCGAAAGGCGCCCGCCCTAGATGCGAAAAAGCGCGCACAGCGGCCTCTCGCGGATCAGCGAAAACAAAAAAATGCTCGAATACGTACCTCCCGGAACGTAAATCGCGGTCCGCAGAAACGTCCGCAGGGCTACGTTTCCACAATGAGCCCGGGTTGTTAAAATGAATGAGAGTTGTGTTGCTTCTGCAGTACCACATTTTGGTCAATAGGTGGTGTAATATCTGCACATGCGCATTTTCAAAGCAACACAGGAAGGAAGATTCAAACCACAGCATTCGCTCATATTATTTGGTATGTGATATGATATGATTTTTAATCGAAACCGATCGAAATTTATGCTCAATTTCGATTATCGAATCAAAAAATAGAATCGTCGATCCTCCGGCATCGCAATCTTCCGCCCGCCCTCGCTGCAAATCCGCTCGCGAAAAGTACACACTCAGGCCCTGTTTACACTGTCTTTG